AAAATTCTCAACGCGGCTACTTTTTAAATAGTGAACATATTTAGCAGTTCTGATAACATTGAATAGAGCAAATCTTCTAGTTTATGATGACATATTAACTTTCCAGATTGCATGAGTTTGAACGGAGTTATGGCTTTGGAAAGCGTAAAAACTCGCACTCATCACGAATTTTCCTCGTTAATTTTGCAAAAATCCTCAACGTGGCCATTTTTTGAATACTGGACGTATAAAGCTGCTTTAGCAACCGTTTGATAGAGAAAATCTTCTAGTTTTGTATGACGTATCAACTTTTTGAATTCTGACGGTAAAATGAAGCAAGTTATGGCTTCAGAAAGTGAGTAAAAACTCGTGCTCATCATGAATTTTCCTCGTTAATTTGATCTAAATTTGTTATTTCTTATAAATTTTTGTAATTTCAATACTGATTAGAAAAAGCTCTTCACAAAACTTCCAAATCTGCTTTCAGATTGAAAATTCGTCATATTTGAAGAAAGTTATAATCATTTGAATATTTGTTCAAATTTCAATAGTAAATAAGCTGCTCCACGGTCAACGCCAAAGTCCAGTCAACACACAGCTGGCGAAGGCGGTTAAAAAGCTTCTTTCAACTGAGGGGACGTGTAGACATGAAGCAATCATAACTCAGTGTTGTACAAAGTTTGGTAAGGCTTGCGAAACCGAAATAAATAAAGGCGAAATAATGTCGTCAACGAGATGTTGGGGTTCATTACTATTGCCATTTTTAGTGGCTAGTTTGTCGTTTTCTGGTCTGTTTCTCGTTTGCTCGTTTGGTAGGACTCATCAATGATGATTATTCTTTGACTTTTTCACTTTTGTACTTCTTAAACGAATTTTTTTGTGGACGGTGGGGTAGCAGGGCTTTTTTATGAGCAGTTTTGGGGGAGAATTAAACAACCTTTTCATAGTTCGGCTTTGAAGAGGGTGTTTCATGGACTTCGGCCTCTGGGGGAGGGAGGGGGGTCGTATTTCCAAATTTTCCTCAACGGTTCGCTTGACCCTGGTCCATAATATGCTGGTATCTGCGTACTCTCATCCGTTATTCCCCTCGCCTACCCTCTCCTCTGCTCAGTCAATACGAAAACAAGCGAACCCTTAGCTTGTGCGTTTCGATAGATCCTTTCCCTATTTTCTTTGCTGTCATTGCACCAATAGCGTCATATTTTGTGGAAGAACCACGGCAGTTTGAATCTGGGCTTAGCAAATTCAAGAATAACTCCAGTACTATTATATTTACTCTATGATAATAGTTTAGTTCACACAACTTTTTATGGTTAAACATAGTAAAAGGAAACTCACGGTAATTTTCGGAGCATTACTTCTTTGTTGAATGATGATTCCAAGGGCTGAGCATCTGGAGCGTCCCTGTCGCTGTGCGATTCCAAGGCTGCGCTTTCGCTTGAACCAGACTTGCCATGTTCCTTACTGGCTGATTTCCTTGAAGAGCCACTGCTAGTGGTGTCCTTGGTGCTTTGTGATTCTAATGCTGTCGATTCACTTGGAACAGAGATACGCTTCTTTTCTTGGTCTTTGTGCTTGACAAAGACGAAGAGAACACCACTAAAAACACGAATAGGTGTAGTATTCCAAAATGAAATAAAAATAAAGTTTGAATATGAAAGTTCATTAGCCAGGCTGATAAAGTTATCCGTGCATTCACGTGCACATCCTTGAAATTATACATTTATGTGAAGGTGAAATGTACTGAAAATGACTGGTCCCTGACTCACTAGACCAGTTTTTTTTAATAAATCGAATCTAATGCGGTCTGCACAAGCAAGTCTTGCCCTCGGATACGCCACGCACGCGCCCGTGGCTGGCATTTGGAACTTCCAATTTCAATTGACTAATCCAAGTTTTTTGTGAGCTTTCCTTCCCACCCTTCCATCCACCGACCAATGATGCTACCGCCGTGATTGCGGCCGTGGGTCCTCGAGATTGCGACCCCCTTCCTCGGCCCGTGACCAAAATGCGACCCCCTCGTTCGAACAGTTCGACAAGAGCAGAGAAGTGTGATGGAAATGAAAAAACTCACCCTGGAAAGCCGTTGGAAATGGAGCTGAACGGCTCTGAAGTGGGCATGGTGAGTCGGACAGGAAAATCGCAGCCACTGCGCAACAGCCCATGTCGGAGCGTTCACCACCCTTATTCAGCGGCGTTAAGGTGAAGACTTTGAGTCTATCACACTTCTCATTGTTCCTGCTAGATTTAGCGCTCGTCCACACCAAGGTTGAAACATAACCTTGCTGGCGCTGTCGGTGATAATTGAGAAAATGAACGATCCTAAAACATTCACGTATTATACGATTTGAACGCGCTGCTATTAGCTACGACTTGCTGGAAGCGTGAGAATTGTGATAACACCGGAATAAATCCACGGAGCGTGAGGAGGCAAGTACCCGCTTCCGACGAGCACAAGTCGGTGCACAAAACTTGGAGGTATGCCGATCCAGGCAATCAGAAGAAGTACCCGAGGAAGTGTACCGTACCACGGAAAGCAAATCCACAACTTTGGAATGACTTCAAAAGGCCTAGGAATTAACGCCATAAGGTCCCAGGACACACACTGGCCCCGCCCAACGCCATAGTGCCCACCTACAAATCATCGCTATTCGCTTTGTTCTCGAATTCGAAACTGATGTTCTCAGTTCAGGCCAGGGTACATCCACTACGTGTACTATGACACACGGGGGGTCGCACCTGGTTGATTTCGCGGGAGAGGGCGGGTTGTATCGCCTTCAGTAGCGTAATAGTACATGTGGTTTGTGAGTTGAAAGTGAGTGTTCACGAGTAGTAGGCTAGGTGAGCGTCCCCCTCAGAAAATGAAGCAGTGGGATTATAGGTAGAAGTAGGGTGGGTAAATTGGTTGAAATTTAGGGAATTTTGGTAAATTTTTACTGTTTCATACGGCATTTTTGGAGGAAAAAGTGGGCGGAGTTTGGTGGGTTGAGTGGTACCAGAATTAAATACTATAGAGAGGAATATGGTGGTCGAGGGTCGAGGGGGTCGTCGAGAAGGGGGTCGTACCAAATCCACCTTGGGGGAGGGGGGTCGTAAAAATTTTTCGAAAAGTAACAACGATAGGACTGACCCTGGTTCCGGGTCGGTTGGTTAGCACTAGAGCTCCGTCCGGATGATAAAAACGCTGACATATCAGCCAGCCCCCGCTAATCATTGTATAGGACATACCGCCACTGTGATTCTGAATGGAAGTAGAACGCGCGGCACATTCAGAACTAGGTTTATCAACATAAATGCTTTACTCTTCATCCTTTTACCACAACTTTGAGCGGCCCAGTCGTTGTTCCCATTTTTGATGATTTTGTTATTTTAATTATCGTATTTGATATAGTATTTCGCCTATCGCTCTCAGTGTACTATAAATTACCTCTCGTCCCAAAAACAAACCCACTCGTGCGACTAAAAGTGAATACAGTGGCACATACACTGCGCGCGCGACATTTGCAACTTGTGCTCTTACTTAGTATCGTACTGATGGTGAGAGCTGCTCTACACAGGGACCAGGGTCAACCGTCCGTTGGACAAAGTCCAACGCGACGACGAGAGTAATGCCGAGAGTGAACGTACGCACGGAGACACAGACGGCTCGCGGGTGGCGAGAGTGAATGCCGGCGCGGAGAGCGGTCAACATCGGTCCAACGTCGCTCCAATATCGGTCCAACGTAACGGTTGACCCTGTGACCCTACCGCTTCAACTTCCCCAATTCTATGCTAGCGATTATACAAGTATTTTACGTCTCAAAAGATATATTACCATTACCTTATTAAGGTGATCAACATGCCGATGTAGTTGAGCATGTTATGCTTCATTTCTGTCGGAGCCAATAGGCCGAGCAGTCCAAAACGAGCCACCGACCAACCGACAATAATCTGATATTTTATATTCTTATTTATTTATTAGATATATTATATTCTTGTCAGAAAATTCTTTGGAGATTATAGACATACCTGCATTGATCCCCATATAAGAAATCCAATAGCCATACCAAGACCGTTAATTATCGGAACAGAGAACACGTTTCCTGAAAGTTGCTCAAACGCATTACTATCACACTAGTTGGCGTCCGCATGCTGTGCACACAACGCAGTTCTGCGGTGGTATGAAACGGTGTGGCTAAAATTCTCAAATTTAGCTCAATCCACCATTAATTTTTGATTTGATCTACCAGGCTAGAT